AACAAGTAGGTTACCAAGTAAGTACTGACCAGCTACATCTGCCATGAACTCTGAGCATAAAAGCAGCAGCAGCTCTTGTATACAGTGTGCCTGTGGCAAATACATAGTTACCCTTACTAGAACAGTTCTGCTTATAAAACATTTCAAATAAAATGTAAGCAGTAGCACACTTTGGTCAAGAAGGGATTGTTTAGGTTTTTGCACAGGAAAGTCCTACATGTTAGGTTAGTTACTGTATTGGAAAGTACATGTACAATGCAATTTAGCAAAATTTGAAATGAGACCAGTAGAACCAAGTCAGAATAAAAAGTCTAGCATTCTGTTAACAGTGCCAAAACCAGATCTAGGTTTCTGCTTCCTCCATGCCTTGGTCAAATGCTTTTGTGGAAAAATAACTAGCTCACATTTCATGTGGTTTTTGGCATAGACCTTGATACAGGATTAAACAACTGATGCACACTGGATTGCTGCAGGCTCTATGTGATTTTACATAATAAAGTGAATGTTTTAGGTAAGTCAAATTATATACATATATGTTATAAAATAACTCAATGTAGAATGTATCTTACTTGTCTGACAATAACATTGTGCAGAAAATTACTGTTCAGAAGTAATAGAAATAATTTATTACTTTTCTTACAGTTCTGTTTTCTTACAGTACCCAGTATTTTCAAATTTCTCCTACATTTTACCTGTACTTCATGCTTAGAGGTATGGATCTGTGGATCTGTGTTACTGTGAGCAAAACTTTCACAGTAAAATCAGTTAAATTACTATGAATAGCAGAGGTTGAATTTTGCAAGCTCTTCCTGGTAGCATTATCAGTGGAAAAGAGCTGAGCAATGTAGGTTGTTGGCTATATCAAGAGTTGGTTGGTGTGTAGATAATCTAGGTCCCTCTACAGATTGTTTTCCCATGTATGTGTTAGAGAAAAACCTATTTAGTCTCAGCAAGGCACCTGCTAGAAAAGAAAGCGTCATCTCAATTAGCAAACCAATTAGGAGTATTCTGTAAACATAGAATAACATGAGGTAGCACTCTTAGGAAGTTATTTGATTGTACTGAAATTGATGATTATAATGAAGATGACAAGGTTGAGTGCCTACAGTAAGACAGGGGGAAGATCAGTGGGGTGAAGTCATGAAGTCTATTACAGACAGCCCAACCAGGAGGAGCGGGCATGATGAAGTGTTCTTCAAGTGGCTGGCAGAAGTCTTGTGGTTGCTCTTTTATGTGAATATAACTTCAGCTTGCCAAATGTCTGCCAGAAATAGAACACAGCAGAGAGGAAGAAGACCAGGGTGTTCTTGGAGTGTGTGGAAGGTAACTTCTTGACACAGTTGGTGAAAGAGCCTACAGAAGAGATGCCTTTCTAGACCAGTTTGTTTTTTTGTGTTTATGCTCATCCTGGCAGGGGTAGAGTTAACTTTCTTCATAATGGCTGGTAGGGGCTGCATTTTGGATTTGTACTGAACACAGGGTTGGTAACCCAGAGATATTTTTGTTATTGCTGAGCAGGGTTTGCACAGAGCCAAGGCCTTTTCTGCTTTCGGAACTGGTGTGGGGACTGAGGGTGCTTGGAAGGCTGGGAGGAGACAGAGCCAGGACAGGTGACCCAAACTGACCAAAGGGAGATTCTAGACCATGTGGCGTCGTGTTTAAATGCAAGTGGTTCTTATTGGATTGTGTGCATGGCTTTTGCTTTCCCTATTAAATGCCTTTATCTCCACAAGTTTTCTGGCATTTACCCTTCCAGTTCTCTCCCTGATCCTGCTGGTGGGGGAGTGAGCAAGTGGCTGCCCGGGTTTGGCTGATGGCTGGACTTAAACCATGACAATGAGCAAAGAAGGACTGGTGGGTAATGCAGTGGTTGGTGGCTGTCTTGGGCAGAGACCATGAAATATTAGAATTTTCAGTTCTGGGTGGAGTAAGGAGGGGCACCAGCAGAACTTCTGCCTTCGACTTCCATTTGGCAGACCTTGGCCTGTTCAGAACATTGATTCACAGAATCTCTTTGGAGTCAGTCCTGAAGGACAGAGGAGTCCAGAAAGGCTTTGCTTTAAAAATGAATTATTAAATATGCAGGATCAGGCTGTCCCCTTGTCTAGAAAGACAAAACATCAGGAAAATAGACCAGCCTGGTTAAAGAGAACTTGGGGGAAAAAAAAGAGAATCTATCATTTCTGGAAAGACAGTCAAATAACTTGGGAGGACTGCAAGGATGTCGCAAGATCATGTAGGGAGAAAATTACAGGGGCCAAAGCCCTACTATAACTTGATTTGGCCAGATCAGTTAAAGACAGCAAAAAAAGTTCGTATAAATACAGTGATAGCAAAAGGAGGGTCAAGTACTGTCTTCATTATTTGTGGAATGCAGAGGGTATAGTGAGTGACAGGGCATGAGAAGGCTTTTTTGCCTTGGTCTTTAATATCATTCTCAGTTGTCCTTGGGATACTCAGCTTGAGAAATTACCAGAGCCGGAAACTGGTTGATAGGAAGACGAGTGATGTCCCCATTATCCAGGAAAAAATGATTAGTGACCTGCTGTTCCAATTAGACACTCACAAGTCTAAGGGCCCTGGTGAGCTCCACCCCAGAGTAATGAGGGAACTGGTAAAACAACTTGTCAAACCACTCTCAATCATCTATCAGCAGTCCTTGTTACCGTAAAAGTTCTAGGAGAATGGAAATTAGCAAATGTAATGCCCATCTGCAAGGAGGCTTGGAAAGATGATTCTGGGAACTACAGGGCTGTCACTGGAACTACAGGGCTGTCACTGTCAGTCTTACCTCAGTTCTGGGCAAGACTATGGAAGAGATCCATGAAGCCCATTACATGGCACATGCAGGGCAACCAGGGCATCAAGCCCAGCAAACATGGATTTACAAAAGGCAGGTCCTGCTTGACCAACCTGATCTCCTTCTATGACACAGAAATCTGCTTAGTAGATGAGGGGAAGGCTGTGGGTGTTATCTATCTAGATTTCAGTAAAGCATTTGATACCATTTCCCACATAATCCTTCTAGAAAAAATGCTTGTGGCTTGGATAAGTGGACTCTTTGATGGGTGAAAAACTGCCAGGACAGCTGGGCCCAGAGAATGGTGGTGAATGGAATTAAATCACGCTGATGACCTTTCACCAATGATGTTTCCCAGGGTTCTTTTTGGGGATGATTTAAAGATGTTTAACATCTTTATCAATTATCTGGGTGTTGCAATTGAGTGTCCCCTCAGTCAGTTCATGGACAACATCAAGCTGCATGGGAGTGTTGATCTGCTGGAGGGCAGGCAGGCTCTGCAGAGGGATCTGGACAGGCTGGATCATGGGCCAAGGCCGTGCTGTGAGGTTCAACAAGAGCTGGGTCCTGCTCTTGGGTCACAACAGCCCCAGGCAGTGCCACAGGCTGGGGCAGAGTGGCTGGAAAGCTGCCCAGAGGAAAAGGCCCTGGGGGTGCTGGTGACAGCAGCTGAACAGGAGCCAGCAGTGCCCAGGTGGCCAAGGAGGCCAATGGCATCCTGGCCTGTGCCAGCAATAGTGTGGTCAGCAGGAGCAGGCAGGGATTGTCCCCTGTACTCAGCACTGGTGAAGCTTGAATTATGTGTTCAGTTTTTGGTCCCTCACCTTAAAAAGGACATTGAGGTGCTGAAGCTTGTTCACAGAAGGGCAACACAGTTCATGAAAGCTTTAGAACATGTCATATGAGGAACGCTTTTGAGAGCTGGGTTTGATGAGACTTGAGGAGGCTCAGGGTGGACCTCACTGCTCTCTACAGCTGCCTGAAAGGAGGCTGCAGTGAAGTGAGGGTTCATCTCTTTTGCTGTGCTTGCAGTGAGAGGACAAGAGGAAATGACCTTAAGCAGAAAGAGGGGAGATTCAGACACTAGAAAAAACTTTTCGCTGTTAGGGTGGTCAGAGATCAGACCAGTTTGCCCACAGAGGTGGTGGAGTGACTATCCCTAGACGTGTTCAAGAGGCATCTGGGTGTGGTAATGTGGTTTGGTGGCTTATGGGTCACAAGGACAGTGCAGAGTGGACGGTTGGACTGGATGATCTTGAAGGTTTTTTTCAACCTTGGCAATTCCATGACTCTTTAGTTGCAACTGGTTACTGCTGTAGTTGTAGTCTTGTAAGGTATGATGCAATGCAGGGATCGCTATTGTACTATACTAAGCTTTTGGTCCTTATTTGAAATTAAAGATTAGGTAATATGAGTGTACCATAATTTATGGCTGAACATCCTGCAAAAAGTAAGCTTTAAGGTGGACCTCTTCTACCTTTATCACAGTTTTGTGTAAAATGCCTGTTTTAATCTTGGTAGCCAATAGTTACTCTGATGTTCTGACTTCTATCACTTGGTGAGTCCTCCCTGTTAAAATAAAATTCAGCATTTCTTTGTATGAAATATAATATGAAACATATATGGTTCCTGCAACACATACTAGAGATCCATAGAATATATGAATCGGTAAGATTAGGCCTTCAACTATATTTTTTGAAATTGTCAAAATATCTAACACATTAGCATATTGCAGAATATTTACAGCAAAAATCACAGAAGTAGGTTCTGCTGGTGCCAAACTGACACCACTAATTCCTGGAGGCCAAAGTCTGCATGCCTCTGACTGCTAGCTGTTAACTACACAAATTTGTAATGGGAAATTACTGTTAACATTGAAATTAATAAATACATTACAGTCTCTATTTACTGGGAATATGACAGCAACTCAGTTGAACTGGCACTTCATAGGTGATCCTGCCTTGGCAGGGTGGGATGGATTAGATGATCTTCAGAGGTTCCTTCCAACCCTAGCAGTTCTGTGATTTTGTGATTCAAAATTTTTGCCATCTGAGACACAATTGTTACTTAGTTTTGTTGTTGTTAAATAAAAAAAGTGATCTCATTTCAAAGGTGTAAGTGAAATAATTTTTCTCTCAAAATCAACAGTACAACAGTCCAAAATATCTAGCTATATAAAAACTGAAGCCATTCAGATATGTTTGTAACAAGAAAACAAATTTATTGATTTTAAAAGACAAGACACAATTTTGTTTTGAAAAACACAAGAAAGCTAGCCTGAGTTCAAGTCTGAAATATTCAGAAAAATCCTACTGTCTTTAGTATGTTCCAGTCATTTTTTATACAACACACTAAAAGTTAATATATATTTTTATAATTATAAAAGGTCCCCAGTTATTGTACAGTACACAATACAAATTGCCAACAAACTATTATTTAGCTCCTGCCAGTTTTGAGAGGACATTATATACTAAAAGATTTAGCATTTGTCACAAAAATCACATCAGGAAATACGTATTTACAAAATCAAATACATTATACAAAAAAAACCATCACGTTATTCTGTAAAGATGTCTTCTTTAAATAATTAAAAAGTATATTCAACTGTAGCCCAAAAACTGGAAAAGAACATTACATTATCTCACACATACAATCTACAAAAAGTTGCTTACCTCATTTACATAATATATTCAGTCAACTGGAAAATAAGAGTTTGAATATGTCCTAGTGTTATGATGTTTCTGTGCTGTGGGACTGGATAATGTAATCTGCCACTTACTAAGTGAAATTTAAATGATGGCACTTAAAAAAAATAGCATATAAAATAAATGCAACAAGGGAAGTTTCCTAGAAGGTAAGAAAGCCCTGAGTGATGATAAAATTACTGATTGGTAGCTCTAGAATTAACCTAATTAAAGTTTACCACCTCAGGCACAATTTTCCAAGTTTTTAAAAGGCACTCGAAGTTTCTTTAAAAGCCTCATTGGTTATTAACTGTAAATCCAAATTTTCAGTGGATATGAGTGGAAATGGGCAACTTGCTTTGGTACAAAGTGGTATTTTCCCAACATATTTTAAATTGCTTAACTGGGTTACTTTAAGATGGGTATTTAATGTTTAAATACAAGGCAGTCACTTTAATATTGTATGGAAGGAAACTTTACTTGGGGAACCCATTAAATATTCTTTGTGTAAAAAGCTTTTGCTGGTATCAGTGAGTCAAAAAGAATTGAACTGAGTTCCTGTTAAAAACCAATCCATTCAAGGTTGTTCCTCTGAAGTCTAAATTCCTCCTAAAATAACATCTATTATTTCAGAGCAATATTAATCTAGAACTGAAAATTCCTGTAAGATGTTTGCACCATAACCAAGAAAGTGCTTAAGAACATACAAAGAACTTCTTCCTGAATTAGTGTTAAGTGAGGCTCATTTGATGCCCACAGTTTTTTTCTGGGCCTTGTTTTCTACAATGAATTTCAGCCTTAATGAGCAATCTCCAAGAACAATTCTTACCAAATATTTAACTACTCAGGGCTTCCAATCCCAAAATGCCAATTTATTTTTTTTTTTTCAACAGGAAAAGGAGAAAAAAATCAGAATAAAACAGGAGTTAAAATGATAATTTTCAAACTAAGGCATATTTTACTTCAAACAAACACTAGGCAGTCACTTTGTAAGTGGCTTTTACTATTTCTTAGTTAAACTGGTAAATTAAACTCAGGTCTACTGGCACATAAAATCACTAGCAGCAATGATCAAGGCATGCAAACTCAGAAGCATTTACAGTAAATTATGAATAAAAAAAGTTGTTAAATTAAAACCCTTTGAGTATTGCATTTATGTTAATTAATTATGCAGTAATTTGCATGAACTGACTAAAAATGTTTACAACTTACTTGCACTATACTACTGACGCAATTCCCTTAAATAACTTTAAATGATACCCTTTTTCTTTGTCCTCAGCTGGACTTAAATAAGTACAGCTGCTTTAGTGTTTGCTGACTGATATTGCAAGAAACCAGTAGAAAATGTACTGTGTTCTCACTTAGTAAGGTGGCATCAGTATCTCTAAGTTAAAAGAATCTTTACTTGCTAACACTTGTTCCCTTGTTCCTGTAAGCAGTCATTTTAAGAACAAAGGGGCTTTAAAAAATATTAGCTCGTGCAATTTCTAGGTTGCTTTTAAAATTCTGACATTCAATAAGGGCCATCCAAACTATACCCTTGTATGTGAAATTTAATTAAATACCTTCATCTTCTAGCTAGTCATTATTGCAGTGACTGAGTTTTAAAAGGAATATTAACATAATTGTGCACTTTTTGTTCCTGTTTCTCACAAACACTGCCAAAAATTTCAATGCAAACACATCAAATATTCTGCAAAATTTATTATTACTAAACCTTCTTTTAGTCCTAAAGATTTCTCTTTTACAGTACCAGAGTATTCCAACACTAATCTATCTCAGGAAATTTTCAAAATAGCTGAATATATTTTCTAAACCTTTATCTTCTAAAGGCATCTTAAAGTAGACAACTTCATATCTGTAGAATCATGTCTGATTTTCTTTGTATATATATGCAGTTACGAAAACCAGGGAGCTGAGGTACTGCTTTATATTACACAGTACGTATCAATGGCAATGAATACTTTGCCTACATCTACTGAGCCCCCTATTAATAAGAAATCCCCATGTTGTATGCAAGTTTATGCAATCTATTTACTTTAGACATAATAAAAAAAATTTACAACACTATAAACTATTTCAGAGTATATGCTCAGTGGACTAGTTAAATCATCTAAAAATCTTTGTTCCCATCATGTTACTTACAATGCTCAAAGGGTTAATGCAAGGCATTATATCAAATTAATTTCCTAATTCTAGAACTAAGCACTGTGTGTTTATGCTTCTATTCCAGTTTTCACTGTCAGTGTTAAATCACCAAACAAATTAGCAGAGATACTAGAATTCCATGTATCAATTTGCTTTAAACTGTATACAAAGAGCATGTCCTGTTAGTGTTGACACGGGCCCAATTTTCAGAAATTCATCTTGCTCTCTCAAATTTGTATTTTAAACTCTGAAATGATTGTTGTATACTTATATTACTAATAAATCTGGGGGTTTTGTCAGCACATTTATGGCTCTCAGTGGTTGGTTTTGTTTTGTAAAAGCATTCTGAACTAAATTGGATTGCAGTGCATCTCTAACATGGATTTTTTTCTAAACAGTGCTGATGTCAATGGTGAGAATGATAAAGATATCTGATCATTTCTTCTAGGGAAAACAAGATAAAACAAAAAGTGTTACAGATACTTAAAAATACCTCGCTTTAAATTAAATTGGTATATAGACCTATGAATTCCTGAATGACAGAACATTATTTTCTTATTTTTTTTAACTAAAGGCAGTAATGCTGTAAATGATCATTTCATAGGCAAATAATTTAACATCTATTTCCCAAATTTTTATGGAACTTTTTTAAAAATGAAGGTGCTTAGAGCATGCTACAGTACAAGCAAAAAAAACTGAAAAAAAAGAAAAAATATGTTGAAAACTGATTTACCACAAGAAAGATGAAAATGTAACAAAACACTTGAACAAATACAAAACTTTTGAAAATTGGGCCCTGTGCTTTGAAAAGGTAGTTCAACAAGACCTCTTCCCCCACACTGTTCACTGTGCTATTTTGTGCTAATGGGGGAAATGCCTCTAAAATAATTATTCTGGATTCCATTTCAAGGTTAGATAAAACACACAAATCATGTCAACTCTCATAATGCCTACCCTGTGGACACATGCTACACCGCTCCATAGCATTGACAACAGACTTCAGAGCTGGTGTGGCAATGCAGCCGCACGCTACACATTGCAGAATACACACTGAGGTATTCATATCTCTCTACTTCAACGATTACTAAAATCCAGCTATTAAACAGCAAGAGTGTGCAAAAGGTTTTATCTAAGTGTTTGATTGAAATTTCAGTAAAAACAAAACAAAAGACCCCCAAATCTGTAAGTCTACAACATAATAAGATAGTCACTCTAAAAATATCTGGTAAAATCTTTAGAATTTAAGCATAAGAATACAGACTCCAGTCAGTTTTCTGAACCTGTGAAAGTTTCAATTTGATAATTCCTTGTTTTCAGAAGCTATGAAATACATTCCATTTCATGTATTCAGATTTTTGTTCAGTTTTGTTTTTTCACTTTATGACAGTTAACAACTGAGTGGAGTGGAGAGCTAAATAATGAAAGAAGACTCGAGTCCCAACATATTTAGCAATCTAATTTACCTTTGACAATTGTACTCTTTTCTCAGCAACAACAAATTCAACATTAAAGCAAGAAACAATAAGAATAAAAGAACACAAACAAACACAAAATTTAAAACAACTACTACAGTATTAAAAAAAAGTTGAAAATTAAAAAAATGTTGAATTATTTTACTTTATTTTACGTGTAAACATCTTATAATGCACAATGAAGGGGAGTAAATATTTATCACAGCTTAGTTTTAGCATTTTTGGTGAAGGGTACAGATGTGCTGATTTCTAAGGAAAAATCAGGACACACTGAGCGATATATGTGACAACAAAATCTATAATGAGATTCAGTGCATTTATGAGTTTAGAAATAATGAATATAAACCTCACTTTTACTTTTTACTGAGGCAAAAGCCATCTACTGACATTAGTAGGAATTATGCCAACACAGAATGAGCTGGATGGGTTCACAATTCTGCAAAGGAATTAAAATTTATTTTTGTGCATCAATAGTGTTAGGACATTTTAGTTTATGTGCAGCTGTATTTGGAGCATATGTAAACTCTAGCAACAAACTTGTTTGCTATAAACACACTTCCATTTTACATGCTCTTCTCCCATTTGGTATATATGACTTTAAAGTCATTTTCAGACACACTAGATAAACCAGAATAAAAGAATCCTAATTTTTTTACGAAGTCTTTCCTGTAAAGTTGATCTTTTTGTGTTCTCATTCACTTTTTGGCTTTTTTTTTCTTATGTAATTTCACTACGTTAGTGTAGCAAATTCATGTGTCTGCATAATGAAATGTTTGTGAAGAAAAACTCGAGTTCTTTTATGTTAATTAATATGGTTTCTATAAACTGATATTATTTAACCATTAAAATGTAATATCTGGCTGATACACCACAAAATATAGAAATTGAAAACATGCACTGCATTATGTACCTGCTCATTTATTTCTTTTTAGTTTTTAAAATTAAAAGTAGGCAAGGGTTTAGAAAATATATAATCATGCTTGGGACTATGGTCAATCTATTTTGACATTTGAAGTTGGTATTAAAGCTAGTTTTGCTTTCCAAATTCCCAAGCAAATTTTATTTCTATTAAAGTGAAATCCAGCTAGAAACGAGAAAAAATAGGTCTATTGTCATTCTAAGAGGGATATTAAAATCATTTAATAATAAAAAAATCCTTTTATTCTTTTGAAGGCTGTGTAACCTGTCCTTACTTCTTAGGGAATTTGAAAATGACAGGCACACCTTGTTGAATTAATTTAAGAGTTAAGAATAACAAAAAGTACTAAGTCTTAGCTTCAGTTCTGTTTAAGGCACCATGTAATAGCCGAGGTACAATGATCCCTGATGTACATTCTTAAATGGCAATGGTCCATCTAGCCACCTATTCAAATTCTACACAATTGGGAATAAGTACAAGTGAGGTGTGCCAGTTACACTGCCTTGTCTAATTTTTGTAAAAATTTAAATCCACTTTGACAACAAGGAAATGTTTTTGAAAGGAAAATGATGCAGGTTGCTACATTCCTTGCATTCTATAAATCACCTTTTCTAAGAGCAGCAGATTGAACCACTAGTAGGAAAAGACCTGGAATAGAAGAAAGTCATCCAAATGGAATGTTTTCCTGTATGTCCAGTTCAGCATAAGTAGCACATACACTTAAAATTAACAATAATCAAGTCACTTCTTTTTAGCTTCAGTTTCTAACATCTGCAGTGCCACTGAACAATCAAAAGTTCAGTGGCCTCACATACAGAATCAGTAGTCTTCAAAACAGAGGAACTGGTATGCAAATAATATCTGAAACTGTTGATTATAAATGAAGCTTGCATTGTTTACATCATATTCAGATAATTAGGTACATTTATGCCATTCAGATTACCACATTCTGATACAATTCTGTCATTTAAACAGCTTCTTCCTCACAGGAAGAAACTAGGAGATCTTCTCAACCCTCCAGCATTATTACAAAAAAATCCCCCTGAATACTCACAATTTTATCAAAATAGTGTCTTCTCGTAGTACGATGAAAAGCACCTTTTATAACAAATTTGATACATCTGCTGTCAAATAAGTATGCCTCCAGTGTAAATCAAAGAAAATAGTTCTTTTGATATTTCACAGAAGTGCATCTAATTAAAAACCTATCTATATGAAATCAGCATAACTAATAATTAACATTAAAATATTTTTTTAAACTATGAAAAAAAATTAAATTATTATAAGAGGACAAAACATTAACATTAAACTTTGCAAAAATCTTCCTTGCATTTGATACAAAGAAACCTCTTCATATTGAGTGGCCAATGTAAAATGATTTCGTTTACAAAAATTTTTTCTAAATTTTTCTAAACAGACCTGGCAAAATACATACACCCATTCCATTTAACAACTCCAACAAAATAATGATCAGAACAGTTACATTTGACAACAGTCAACCTTCGGACTTACTCTCTTTTTTTTTCCTTTTTCATATTAAACCTAAACAGCTAATGCAATGGGGCGTGTGTTGGAGGCCAGGGGAAGTTTCACATTAGACTGCAGTATATGTATTTCCAGTAGCACTGCATTGTCTGATAGTCTGAGTAGTTGCAACAATGTGCTCATTATGAATTGGGTTCAGGAGGTTCTGCTGGACTCCACTCTCAAGCACTGGCTGCATGCAGCCCACCTGGAATGCCTGGTTTAGCTCAGTTTTCTCTCTCTTAGCTTGTGGCTCTCCACTTTCATCCAGCTCTTCATCTATTTCACTTTCAACTTCGCTGCCCTCATCTGCACAAACAAACCAGCATGTAACTACCACAAAGTGAGAAGTTTCTAATACAAGGCTCTTTATTTTGGAAATAATAGTTGAAATACAGGGAAGCAATCTGATAAAACACAAACTGAAAATTAAAATTTTAATGGAAAAAAGTCAGCTGTTAAATAGACAGATTCAGGTTTGATCACTTGAGCTACACACTTCTGATGTGAAAAAAACCCCTGCTATCTCAAGAGGTCTAACAAACAATGTTAACTTCATACTGGAAAATGCTTCATTTCCTAAACATGATGAGCAAGAGTTGTTACTTTTAGGGATAGATATGGAAACTGAGGTGAGGAGATTTGTGGTCACTTAACCCCAAATTTTGGCAAACATTCTTATACTCACTAGTTGAGTGTTCTGAGGTCAAATCACTACAAATCACTCAAGCAGTCAGTACAAGAATGCATGTCAAAATAGGGCATAAAGAGAATACAAGGAACTAATTTCCCCCGACTACTTGCATACAATTCTGCTTCCTGACTTACCGAAACATTCACTACAGTTCAACATCCATAAGCCTACTCCTGTCTTTCTTCCCACAGCTGTTACCCTCCTCCATCCTATTAGATATAACAAAATTTGCATAAAAATTGGAATATTTCTTTGTGACAACAATAAACATCTTAAAATTATTATTGTAGAACAAACCTACAGTATTCCAGTCATTATGACATGTGGCATATTATATACGTAACTATTGTATTATATCAGTGTATTCATTAATCATACACACGTACTTTAAAGAAGGATACAGCCCTAAATTCTGTTTGACTGTGTTTCTGAAACATAAGGATTTATTTTGTTCAGAGACACATTAGCTCTACACAGAATTACACCCTGGAGATACTAAAATGCTTACCTTTATCCATATTTCCAGGGGACACAGCATTTAAATCACCAAACTGTAAAATAAACAATAAAAAAAAATGGACACAGTCTTAAGGAAATGAGGACTTAGAATATCTATGATGTAGGGAATCTGTGCTCCACTGGTTTGATGGTTGCATTCATTCAAATGCATGATCTTAGCTGCAGCCACATCCATAGCAGAGCAATTTCCCATTCCATTTCAGTCTTGTGCTTATTAAGACAATTATCACTAAGTAAACCCTCAAAAATTAGAATGGAGAAGACCAACCTTTTTTAAAGATTGCTTCTTCAGGGCCTTTGTTGTTTCAAGTGAACTATTTCTGTGTTTTATAAAGCCATAAATTATATTGGATATTCATTCTGAACTGCCAACATTACAACAAAAAACTCCTTTAAAATTTCCCAGGCACCAGTTTAATTGTGCTGGAAACAAAATGAAGCATGTCACAGTGTTGTTAATCCACCTGTAAGGCAGATGAATGGCACTGCTGAGAAGGGGTTTATAACTTGGTAACTGATTTACTTCAAAATTTTCTTTTAAAAGAAGCAGCATATAAGTTAGAAACCTTCTTCCCTTTCCTTCCTCCGTTTCTTTTGTGTAAAATTTGGAAGAGTAAAATGCCACCAATGGATATCTAAACATTGTTTAGATAGATACAATTCTAACTTATAAATGATGATACCAGTCTTTTCCAGAAGAATTTTGCCAATACCTGTGTCAAAGGGTGGAAGAAGAGGAAGGGAGAAGTATGAGAATGCTTTTCTCAGCTGCAACCAGTTTATACTGTTTTACAGTGCTTGTTGGACAGTAATCTTCCTCATTTTATTTCAGCCGTTGAACACACAGAAATGTAAGAAGACATGCATTTCATGCATTACTTCTATTCTGCCCTTCACCTCCAAAAATTCTGCAGTACTTACTTTCTCACAGTATTTCCACCTTCAGTCTCATGAACTCTGTGGAAGGCCCTGTGCTACATTTATGCCTAACATATTAAAGTCTGCTGAGACAACAAGAATGTAGTACCTGCATACTTGTGTAGTACCTTCTGCAAATGTAAGGCAAGAAATGTAAGAGCATGTACACTGATGGTGGGTCCTTCTACTAAGTAGAAATATTATTTAATTTTTCTGAAACATGTCATGACACATGATATAAAAAATTTGACAAAGCAAGATGAGACATTATCCAACTTCCCTTGAAAGTATATAATATCTTTATAATATTTGGTAAGTCTATCAATATATCTTGTGGGAAGAATGACAACTTAACTGACAAAATTACCTGTAATTTATAGGTAACACAGAACGTGATAGAGTGACTTGCAAGTGTGAAAATGTAACAAATCCGTCCTATTAAAAATTTAGCATATTTTCAAATATATCCATTTTCCAGCACCTTTGAAGCATTATTCTTTGGGAACAGTTCATGCTTTCCTTACTTTCTTACTCAAAAGAAAAGGTCAGATGAACTACTGAAAGGAAGAAGATAAGAGAAACTTTGCCCTGCAGATACCATAGCTGAGTATAAAAAAAGAGTTATGAATTGAGACTCTAGATCTGCTTTTTAAACCAATTGTCTTTGAAACAACTGTATGAAAATGAAATGTGTTGCAAACCTCTATGTATGTCTGCACTGGTATGTGAACGGCCAAAATTCTGTACAGCCAAAATTCTGCATGTAAACCATTTTTCAAATGTCAAAGAGGGTATACATTGTGTGTGGGAATTATGTATGCAAATGCATGTAAACATATCCACAGAAGTAACATTTTCCTATTACTATGCTCTTTTTCATTTTCACATAAAATGTTTGGGTTTTAAAAAGTGGAAAATGGCTGTGGGTTGATCAACATGCTTCAAACTATGCACATGAATCTGTGTGCAGATTCATAAAAGAGCAAGTTCATTTAGAAATAATTGATTTTAAGAATTCAGTGTGATTTTACTATTCTTACAACGAACCAGTGAAACAAGTTTGAAACCACTGTATATATTTGTCACTTAGTCTATTGGCCTGCCATTCTACAAACACACTTAAATATGTGCAGAAACACTTTCTCCAAATAATCACTAAATCTATCAGTCTAGTCTCTTACAATTATCTTACCTCTCCCATAACTGCAATAGGTGTCTCTCCTGTTGCCTGAGCAACACGATGTTCTACTAAGTAAAACATGTATTCATCGTATAGCAAGCGGATCAGATGAAAAGAGCCAAAGCTAGCAGCACTGCGCAAGGTTAAATCCCGAATCACCATTGAGCTATTCGAAAATAAAAAATATATATATGTTTATGTATTATATGTCACAGCCATTTTAACATTTATCCATGTAGACAGACATTTCACCTCAAAACCAATATTCTCAAAAGCAACATTATCCTCAAATGTCTGATTTAAAGGGATGACCAGGAAAGGACAATTGTTTGCTTCTCTCCTTTCTCTGAAGATACTGTTGGACACCACATAAGAAATAACCAGACTGGATTGGTTTTGGTATTGACCCATGCATAACTACCACTAATTCATCAAGTGTAAAACTTAACTTGAGAAAACTTTGTTGAAAAATTAAACAACTAAAATGGTAAGAAAATTATTTGATTTTAAAGAAACTATTGCTTAAATAGTGTCTCTTGTGTCAAACTTTCCAGGGCAATGCTTTTAATTGCCAGAATTTAAAAAGCTTTGAATCTTAGAATTCAAAAACAATAGGCTTGTGTGTTCGTATTAAATCTTCGTATCTTCAGCAAGCAGTTGCTACAGTCAGGTTCAAAGAACAAGGTTTACTCTGATAACTGTTTCAATAAGCAGCTAACATGGAATGCTTGTCTTAATGTTCTTTTCATACATAAAAAACAGCTTTTGCCTTTCTTATCTAATAAACATTGATGCCACAATGTTTTAGTAAGTAATACTAAAAACAGTGACTTGATGACTGTGTAGTTTTTTAACCAAAACAATTCATAATATGTTTCAAACTCTGGACAAAATTACACCTGTATTCATTTTCAGATGGCCTTTAAATCAATAAACAAGGGCCATTTAGGTCCCTGTTAATTTGCTGATAGCCTCGAGTTCAATGTTAGTAACAGAAGTCCACTGAAAAAAACCCCATGTTTTTCATGATGTACCAAGCCACTGTTTGATATTAGATTTGTCAACTTCAATACAATGCACAATTCAGCAATTAATAGAATAGTTAGAATGCTTTAAAATCTACTAAATACTACCTGTAGAAAGACCATTTTAACAGAAATTGCCGTGCTGCTTTAGGAAAGCTGGGTCTTCCTTCATACGGTTTCAATGCTTGCATCATTACATTATCCAGCCAGGCAGCCCACTGCTCCAGAGTGCTCTGCTGTTGAAGAGTCATCTTGAAATCTGTTTCCAGTCTCTGAACCATGTTGTCATCACACTGGCACACCCAGGAAGCCTGCTCCTGTTACAGCACATGGCAACTCTTGAATTGACAATACATAAGCCAAAGCACACAATGTAATTGTATCTCAAATGTTAAGCTTTTCAATGGGTGAAAGAGAATAAACCCACTTACTAGACAGACTAAGAAGTGTTTTTTCATTTTACATCTACTGTAATTTTGTTGAAAGCAAGTAGCTGGGAAAAGCATAGCAAAAAAAACCAGACATCAAAGAAAGTAATTAGAACAAACAATGAAAACAACAAAGGTTTCCTGTTTCCCACATTAATTTGTGAAAAAAGACTTCTACTTTTGTAATTTTTCTGCTGAAATACTTATATCTTGTAATTTTTTTCTGGGATTTCAGGCAGGGCAAACAGGAAGAAGAGTCAAATGCAGGGGACTAAAGTAATAAAAGAAGTAGTAAGAAATCAAATGCAACATTCCTTTTATTCTGAAGAAGTTAAGCTTAAAGACAAATCCTGTTACATCTTCATGTAAAAGAAAATTTGTATGCAAACAAGGATTGTTTGCTGATTCTACGCAGTAATAGATTACACATTACTTAAAGACAACATAAGCTGCACACAAGTGGAGAAACACATTATGCATATAGTAATCAGCAATTTAGTCAGTGTTACCAAGTTTAAATAAAGCTAACTTTTCAATTCAGAAAATGAGAAAAAATGACAGCTCACTAACTGCAAGCCATTTCCATTTAAACTCCAGCTGTCATGTGCCAAGTTAACATCTCATTCACAGACTCTGTATCCATGTCAACATATTACTGTACTTAATATATTCTATCTTTGGTCAAGAACTTTTGACTAGATTCCTGCTAAGTGTGTTAGCAAGTAAATACTTGTTCACAATGAAGAGAAACAGAGAACTACCCAGAATTGGAATTTTTCACTTTACTAGCTAAAAGGACAAAATTATTTTTCCTCAGACAAGCAAAAACATATAGAGAAATTAAGCTTAGTAAAAACATTCATTTATGCTCTATAGGTTCTAACCATACTAATCTAATCTATTATTCAGGAGTGTTCAGGAGATCTTGTAAATTCAGGCAGAGCAAGGTAGAAAAAATATACTAATATATAGGGTTTTAAATAGAGACAGTCTCTACTGAAAACACAATGCATTTAATAACTTTAAGAGACATTCAGAAGATACGCTACTGCAATCAAATCCTAAAATACCATTTTTGCTATTAGTAAGACACGATTCGTGGTGAATCCAAGAAAGTATCTGCTCTACATTTGCATAAAAGTTGAAAGAATATGTGTATTTCAAGAGAGTAAATGGAAACCAGGTAATGGTTCTGAGCTCTTATCTTCCTAAAGTGTAAGCTGTCACATTTGGACTGAGTCACTACATATATGAATGAACAAAATATTAGTGCTTGACATTCTTGATAGAATGACGCCTGACAATGATGTTCAAAAATCACAGACAAAGTAACACTTAAAAAACCCCTGCTATTGAAAACTAAATTTTACCTGAACATTGGCAAAATCAACACGGTTGAGATCATTGAGCATCTGGTTGATTTGTGAAGTATTTTGAAGCACAGCACGAGCTGCTTGAGCCAGGTGATTAAGAGATGTGTATCTTCGCAGAGTCTGGGCAAAGGCACTTACAGCGGCAACCTACGAAGAAATTTATTATTTTTAAATATTGTACTCCGCAGAGTAATTCTACAGATTGGCTTCCATCTCAATGGTGTATATTAATGGATTGTCATATTATTTATTATATCATGTAGCAGATCAAATAATGTTATTGCCTCTCCCATTATTTGATGCTTGATGCTAAACATGAAATTTAGCATTAAAGTTAAAATGCATCTCCTTGAAAATGCTATTGCCCACTTGGTTTGCCACTGCAAGAATAGTACTTCAAGTTTCATCTACCTTGGTTTGTATCATCCTCTGTGGAATATTGTTCATGGCATTTGAAAGCCAACCTTCAAGGCTTTTTGCAAAATTGCGAATGGCTTGGGTCAAGGCACCTGCGCATTGGAGAATAAAAACAAAATGAAAAGAAAGCAGTGTACCTGTCTTGAAATGTTTTACATCCTCAGAACTCTTGTACACAACTTTCAGGTCTGCTGCATTTACTTACTAGACAAATCTAGTCTAGGTTCGAAATGCCTAACTGAGATAAAGATTACACAATAATGATTTTAGTTTTGGTTTAATAAGCAGTTGTGACTTCTTCGCCAGACAATCTTCCAAAGAAGTTTGCAAATTAGCAGTATTGTTTTGGGCACTCCTATACAAGAACAACACAAATTGCAGCAGTTGTGATGGAATTTTCCATCACAAACTTTCAGCTTTCCATTTTACCTAAGCACCCATTTTAAAAACCAAAAGTCTGGGGATAAATCCACTTACAGGAGAACTGCAGTTTTCCCATAAGTCCAAAGAAATCTTAAACTATGTTGTAGTGCTGCTTAATTCAGTTTTAAAGAATAAATTCTATTCACATGCAGTACTTAAGGATACCATCAATAAGCAAGATACAGGAGTGTGTTTCACTGACAGAAAGTGAAATTTTAATAATTTTAGTAAGTGAAATTTTATAATTTCAAATTACCACAATTTCATGTAACAAAGTATCTGTGTTAGCTGAGCCCTCTTATGGTATCAGGTTTTTTTCTCCTTTAAGGTTTACACATGAAGAAGCAGCTTTTTTCTTCAACTGCCAATCCCCTAGCTCACTTGTCCTGCTTTGTAAATTATTTCTGTGCACTTACTGACTATGTATTCACCCACATTTTTTTCTTAACTACAGACAAGATGGAAGTAATATATGTAAATTCTGTATGAATGGTACTTAGACATTTAAGAAAAATATTACTGCTTTTTCACTTCTGGTGTTCTTACTACTCCTTTTTACCCAAGTATATCTGTGTTACAAAATTATTTGCATCACTGCAATGCTGATGTCCTTTAAAAATAAATATGGAAAAGCAGCTCAGGCCTTAAGAAAGGCCTTTAACTAGAAAGAAAAATAAACAAATAAAAGGAATTCCAAGTTCTGAGAAAATAAAATAGCTAAAGTAGCTAATCAGGCATCACTACTGTATAGAACCATCAGGAATTTCAAATGAACTTTGGAGATATATTAAACATAGATTTTTCTCATATCCGTATGTATACATTTAGCCCTTACCAAAACCGTAAGTACCTACATCCTTGAACTTCTTGAATTCCTTGAAGTTCATCTGAACCCTTCCAGAGGATCGTTGCATGATAAGCATGATGCAAAGTAAATGGCCTAAATCATTAACTGTTACTAGTCACACACTAAATGATGTGGCAATGGCTGAAAGTTGATTTGCATATGTACCTAAAAAGCTTAATTTCTAAACCAAAACCCCTCTGACTTGTACAAAACTGAGCTTTACACTCTTTCCAGTACTTTAATGTTTTGTCTGTGTGGAATTGTGTAATATGGTGTGGAAGTCTATTTTGCATAAATTCTCCACCTATCATGGAAACTAACTCACAAGCAAATTTGTTACTGGCCATTCTGCTATGTGTGAAGATGCAAGATGTCCATTCTAAAACATAATAGCTCTTGTCTATTGTCAAGGATGTTAGATAATTATGGTCTTTATTCCTGACTCAAAGGGACAGCATTTCACCTTTGTCAGGAAAAGGAATTTCGTTGTTTTATACACAGCAATTCTTCACATTCTGTGGCTGTGAAATATTTCAGCTGACAAATTTAACACAGAGGTTAAAAATAAAACCATTTTTTTCCTCAACAGCCTCTTTTTTCTGCTCCAGTAATATGTATCAACAATAGGACTTGTCTAAAAGAAAAAATACTGAAGATCTAAACAAAAAAAACCCTTGCAAAATTTATGCTTTCTTCAAGCCCCTTTCAAATTAATATTTTTCCCTGTTTTGAGCAGCAGCTGCTGCTATCTTTCCATTTATTTAAAAAAAACATAAACATGACTTTAATGAAGCATTTACAGTTCCAGTTCCTCTACTGAGTCCAAATTTTCCTACAAACTACTATTTTCCCACAGAGGATGATGAATTTGTCTGCTTTATCCAGCTGCATTTTTGTTGTATTCAACCTTAATCCATTATCTCAGTCTCTTGTAATAACTGGAGATGCTTTTATTCAAAAGCAGGAATTAAATTGTAAGATTTTAACCATTTAATAGTGAAGAAGAACCTCAGATGGCCCATCATTAAAGGAAAGCTGCTTAATAAATAAATAAATAAAAAAAATTTAGTTAGCTGGCCCTAAAGGGGCCTAAGGCCTTTACCTAAGGGTAAAGCAAGAAAATATGTTAGTGGTCTTCTAAATTGCCAGTGAGCAAAATTGCATTTCTGCAATTTTAAGCAGAAAACCACTGGACTGTTCACAAAAAAGAGGCAGAAGTCTCTTGGAATGATTTGTCCAGGTATCAGATGATGTATTTGAACCCAATAGTCTGATAATCATTTCCAATAACACAGTAGGTATTAATTTAAATATGACTGGTAATTCTAGAAAGAAGGAAATAGCATGAAAAGGACATGATGCATCTAGTTATTGTTATTAATTGATTTCGTCCCATTTTCTTGAAATCCTGTACTGGCAATGTCCAATGCACCTTATGAAGCAAGGCAGGAAGACAGCATGATGTCATTTAAACACCTGTCTAGAGACTGCCAGGCTTTGCAGGAAAAGCAACTGAGAAGGAGAGGAACAGGTTTGATGAAAAACTGTGTCTGCATTATCTTTTTATTCAGAAATTAACTTGCTTTTGCAAGTGAGAATTTTCATTCAACCTGTTAAATTTAATTTATAATTAAATTTGTGGGGGTTTTTATTTAACAATTATTACTACTTATTTGTTTATGATACACTATATTACTCTAAAATCCTCTAAAATACATAATGGTATTCTCATTAGAGAAGTAAAACCTGAAACATAAACCAATGCAAAACAAATTACACAAGTAATAATTGTCAATAATTGCATGTATTTGAGAAAACATTTTTCCTCTTTTCTGCTATATAGATGCATAAATTATGTCAATTGCTACCAAGAACTTATTGTTCCAAAAAAAAAAAAAAAAAAAAAAAAAAAAGTAAAATGTGCATTGTAAATGGCAAACATTCATATTTTATACATTTCCAGTTTCATTTTTTTTGGTATTATACATAATTTGCTAAAACCTGGTTTTATTCCACTGGCCAGCAAGAAGTCAATAAAACTTTTTTGCAAGGCACTACCACCAGATATTCTTACTGAGTGCTTATTACTGCTGGAGTCACTATAGCAGAGAAGGTGTTCACAGCATGAAAATACAGTTTTGTTACCTGCAAAACTACTTACGGCCCTAATTAAAAAAAAAATAAAAATCCAACTTTTTAAAGTAAATACTGTTTTTCATTGGAAGAAGATAATACATAGGAAATATCACGGTTTTAGTGAATTGCTAACATGATTTCTTTATAATATTTAGGACACTATATGTGAGACAATAAATACTTTATGAAGGAGTTGAACTTCACATAAATTTGTTTTCAACCAAAGATAGCCATAAAAATACACTGCTAGAGCAACGACAGGTTCCAGTATAATTAAATTTAAAAAGAAAGCTCTACTCCTGGTAATGATGGTATGACTGGACAATTACTCACTATTTCATGAAGTATGTATGACAGGAAAACAGTAGATTGGAGTAATAAATTGGACTAGGAATTTCTCATTGACTTAACAGAACTGACTTCAGCAGTCAGGGACAAAGGACCACCTCTCCAAACATGGAATCACAAAGACCACAGTTCTCTTCCAGACTAATCAAAGATTAATATGTGATGTTTGAACTGAAAACTACTGAATTTAGTGGAAGGATTGACTGACAATAGTGCACATTGTCACAGGACTTCCTCCTGTCAGGCATCCTGGAGCCAGGGTAAAAGGGAAACATTTTTACCTGAAGACATAACAGATATGAAGACATAACAGAGAAAGAAGTACATTTAGTATGAAATTTTATCCTAAAAACTACCAACTTTTAGAATTCAAGGCATTTCCCAGCACAACTCCTCATGCAACAAACTAAGGATAAACCATATGTGGTATTTTGTAATTTTTAAACTTTTTTCTTAAGCTGCCTGTGAGGCACAAGTACACTGCCATACACATGCTTGCAGAAAAATGTAATGATTCAGGTGTTGAACTTACTAGGAATAGGTCTAAGGACGTCAGGAATGAGAATCTCCACCAAAGCCTGGTACATCACATGGTCACAGTTACACATCCATTTCAGAATAGACTCATTCTTGCACAGAGTAATCAGCTTTGCTTTAGGAAGTCGACTTTCTATTTCACTCAGATTGCTGGTGTTAGAAGAAATGTAACAAATTATAAACGATAATGCAATTATGGCACCTAGGTACATGGTTTAGTGCTAACACGGCAGTGCTAGGTTAACAATTTGACTTCTCTGACCTAAAGTTTCTATGATTCCATGATTTACAGCAGGTAAAAACCTGGGTGTTAAAACATACTTTTTTATAGAGGTGTCATGGATGTCTCAGCTGCACCCAATATAACTTATTTATGTGCTGTCTCACACGGAAATGGATTTAAGAAATGTCTCCATAATTCTTCTACAGCTGATAAATGGTGCAGACATATGAATGAACGTTTTGGCTTAAAAGAAGTGGATCAAATATTGGGAAGAGACAGCTTCACTATAGTTGTCCATACCCCCATGGATGACACAACTGTTTAATGACTGCCCTTTGGCATATGCCCAGACTATACAAAACTGCCAGACAACATAAATTTAATTTGGAAAATAATCATAGGAAAAAAAATTATTAAGGTAAAGCTAATAGATTTTTTAAATTTCACACTTAGATTATCATGAGACACATTAAACGAAGAGAAACATTTTACTGACCTTGGTTCATTAACAGGAGTGCCATCAGGTGGAGCAGAAGGAGAATAGCGCCAGAAAGTTTGCCACAATTTTTCTATCAGGCTGAATTGAAGATTAACAACCACATCCAGTATTGCCTGAAAAAATAAAACAAGAGATCGTACTGCCTTTTACCCAGAATCCCTCCACTCCCAACTCCAACTAGATCTACTGCTCTTTTCCTTCACCACATAGTGGAACCAAGGCAAACTGGACATTTTATAAATTGTATCTGTTTTAATACTGTTGATATCCATAAATTATCCAGCACTATAAACTGTTGTGCACAGAGACTTGCAGAAGACTTGAATGGAACCCTCCTGGAACTAGTATGGCCTATGTAAACTTATCAGAGGAATTTAAGCACAGAAAATATTTACTGCTACTGCAAATAAAATAGTAAACCTGACATGGTACTCCTTTTCATAACGCCTTATAAGTTGGAAGCACCTTCAAAAATAATTTTAAAGGACATATTGTTCAGTATCAAATGCAGCTTAAATGTCTCAATGTTTCTTTGATAAGAGAAAAAAGTTATTGCTTATAATGCCAAAGAAAATAAAATTATAATCCATCCTGATTTACATTTCCTATTGACTAAACCAAAGATCTGCATTCACAATCTGAAGTTTAACATTCTGAAACATTTAATTCTCAGTATCTATTACATATTACTCTTTCTCCTGTAAAGGGGATCCTTAAGGAAACCCTTTTTGTTATCTTTTTCAATGAGATAAATAAAATATAGTGGGGAAAGTCACACGCCACTACCATGGCTGCAATATATTTGGCACTATTCTCCTGTACTGACCTTTGGTAAAAGTCATGGAGTTTCAAAAATAAATGGTTTAATAGAAATACCTCACAGTGCTCTCTATAAAGACTCTGTAGTGATTTGATGTCCTCAAAGGTAGTACCATCTGGCAGAGAAGATATTTCAACTTCTCCAAACTCTGGCAGTACTCGAGATGCATCTGTTGTCATGACAACATAATGACAGAGGTGCCGGTTACAGTACGGTTAAAAAAAAAATTAAGGATTATACAAAGAAATAAATAAATTCCAAAAGGTCATAATATTAAAAGATTAAAGTATTTAATATCTATTGTATGCCAAAACACTAAATACATTAATAATTTTTAGTGAAAAAAAATACAAAATTATACTTGAATAGATTCAAATGCTATCATGTACACAGTATATCTATATAGAGAAGCTAACATGCTTTTTTCAGATTATTACAGTGTGAAAAGAAAATAACTAGAGTCAGTGCAGGAGAGACTAATTCTTGAGTAATTTTTTTGTTGTTCAGCTGAAGAGTTTCTATGCTGCCAGGTGTGAAGGGGCTAAATAAACTCAATATACATTTTTGCTTGACATTTACTAGACTTTCAGGTAGAGCTAATGTGTGCTTTTACTATTTGCCACAAATGTTTCCATGAGACAAGCTGGTAAGATAAAAATACTGGACTGAAAGGTACCTGGAAAAGAAGACTCAAAACATTTTAATGCTACCCTTATACTCCAAGTAGCTTTATTAAAAGCAAAATCCCAACCAAATAAGCCTACACTAATAGCAAACTCTGTCAGCACAGCCAAGGACTCCTTTTACATTAACAATTAACTAAATTATGATTTGTTTCTATGACTGGAATACATGCTTAACTGGATCAACAAATCCACAATTTGGATATTTTTAAACATGACCTTTATGGTTTCAGTTGAAACTATTTGTCTCTTTCCACTTACAACACTAGAATATCTGCTCAAAACAGCCAGGGGTGGCTAACCTGCATAGTAGTTCAACGCCATCCTCCTACCCCAACTTTCATGAAATAAAAGACACTGTAATGCATGTGAAGGAAACAACTTTCATAGCAAGAATTTCAATAAGCCCATTTAATATAATTATGCAAAGCAACTTCATTTATGTAATATGAAGTATATCTCACCCTATTTTTCCTTTTATACTTACATGATGCATATTAAATATTGCATAAAGCTCACATGTGTGAAAGTGCCTTTCTGCTCTGTTGAGAAAAAGGATTTTAGAGAGGGCATGATAACTTCAGAAGCAACTATTGTACTTGTCTGGCTTGATATTCACTGTGATAACAAAGTTCATCTTACTTATTTATATAGCAGTATAAAACCTGCTTTCATACCTAGAAACTGCTGATGATGTTGACTTTGGGCAATTACAGTTTGTTCAACAGATGTGCCTGTCTGTTGACCACTTCCTGTGAAGCCATCTGCAACTCCATCCACTTTCTGCATAGGCTTATACCTGCAAAAATATCAAGTACAAAATTATCCTTTCTATACTACTTCATAAATGGAACATGGAGTTTGCTTTTTCCATCTCAAAATAAAATTTTCAGGACAAGTGACAAAAGAATTTAGAGGTTCTTACTTACTTTGTAAATAATAGAAGAAAAAAAAACACTAAGGGAAGCTAGACTGTTAACAACACATTACAGAATTCACAAAGGTGGTATTCCAGCAGTACTCCAAATTTCTGGTAGAATTTAGCTTAGTAATAGCATCTTGTAACACCGGCAAATTTATATCAAAAACAACCAAATCCTTCCCTTTCCACACAGCTTGACATAATTTTGTAATGCAAAGGTAATGTTTCATTACTTTTAAGAAGAAACAACATTACTGTCTAAGGATAACGAAGACGTCAACAAGAGCACTTTGGGATACTGAAGTTATGCAAATAAAAAAGGTGCATGGTTCCCAAATTAAGAAAAGGAATGAAGAAAAATGATGTGTGGCACACATTCAGTCTACAGCCTTTGCTGAAGAGGACTAGAAATGTTTATTCTATTAGACATACCTGATAGAGATGGTAGAATTGGTATAATGACCCAGAAAAAATATTGACTACAATTTACCACAAATTTAAAAGACAAAAGAACCACTAGAAACATTAATAAGCTGACAAAAGAGCAATATTACTGTAATCATAAAAATTACAATATACGTTCTTTTAGTTCTCTCTCAATAAATCCTCCTAGAATTTTTCAATACACTTGGATAACAATGCTAAAAACACATAAAGTCATATATGAAACACTGAAGTTAAATACTAGGCCTCCTACAGCACAGTATTTTTCATGTAACTATTTTTCATGTAACCTATTGTGCATAATGGTACCTTGCAGTTCCCACCCCTCATCAACACCTTTACAGATTCTTGCAGCAGAGCTTAAGATTGGTGTGAATTGAGCCCTAATTGGGTGCATGTTGGTGCAGGTAGACGTGTGCAAGTACAAAACATGAGGCACAGGAGAAGTGTGCAGGAACTGCACACAGAGCCATATGTGTGATATCAGATATAATTAAGGAACATACTGACACAAAGTTAAGAAAATGATGCCAAACAGACTTAGGTATGGAAAATAAGGGAACTATGTGTAAGACATATGGTGGTGTTAAGTAAAAGAATCAAGCAAATAATACAGAAAGAAATATGCAGCTATATAATGAAATTCCAAAATCACTTTTTCATTGTGAATCATGAAAAAGACAAGCGATATGACAATGTTTGGCTGACTAGCATAATTTTTCCAGAAATAATTCTAGTTAGACCACTGTAGCAAATTTGGTGCATATATGCAATTCTGAATGCAAGTGAATGAAATGTCTAAGTCAATGACATTGAGTCAGTAAAGTAAGCTTGCTGGGAGATTTTGTAAATATCTATTATCATTCCTTACTATATAATTCTACCATGGTTTTTGTAACAAGCATTTTCTACATAATGTTATTATGAGACATCTCTTGCTCCTGTATTATGCTCAGAAAAAGGCAGTTAAGACCATATATCTTACCATGAGCTTCCATTTAGTGTGGTAGCTACTCTGTACTGTCTGGAAATGACAGTAAAATAATTTCACATAAAAGTGACCTTTGTGTTTGAAGTTAAAGTTTGAAGTTCTATATCTCAAAATAGGCTTGGTACACTATACCAAACAGTTCATTCAACTGAATTTTTCTGAATGAGTAAGTGTTCTAAAGGTGACTTGCCTGATATGGTGCAATCCTATCTGTGAGTGTCATGAAATTATGCATCTAATATATTTTACTTTAAGGTAATATGGATGGCTAGTGACACCTGTCAAATCAAAATTTATTTCAAAAAAAATTAATAATTTCCATTTTTCCCCATAAAATTTTCTGTTTAACATAATTTTTAATATGCATATTCACACATTCTTTCACCACCAGTACAGCCCTGTGCCACTGCTTGCAGCTAGTTCTGAGCTATCACAGATTCCTCAGGGGCCACAGATACTAAGGGAACATACTTACATGTACTTGGAGGCAAACCATTGTGGTCACATTAATTCTTCACAAGGAGATGAAATAAATACCAAGCAACTTAATAGTAAGTTCTCTGATATGAAGTGTGAACATTAAATGGTACAGCAATGAAAAGAAACAGGAATGTTTGAAATTAAAGCTCTTACTGCTTCTATTCAGCTTTTGGGACAAGAACACAGTATAGTTAAGAAGAATCTGTTCATATTATAGGTCATTTTATTATTATTTATTTTCTAAAAATTTACGACAATTTCTAAATAAATATTCTTTCACATTGATTGGTGCCTGACGTCACTGACATCAACTGGCTATCAACCACACTTTTATTTTCACAGCAGAAAAGCTGAACAGGAATTCCAACTTGTCCATGTAAGGAAAAGTAAGGCTTGATGAACTAGAAATTGCAGTGAATAGCTGTGTTTCACACTTCACCTTTGTTTCTGCTGCATGGGCTGCTGTCTCATGGCCATATATTGCATGTCCTCTTGTAGTCGATTAAGAGGAGAATCTGGCTTGACACGAATCCCATAGTAATGATATTTGGAGTTCCCCCTTTATGAAAGAGTAAAAGAGCAGTAATACTAGTTTTACATATTTACATTACAATTACTTTACAATTTACATTGACTGGAAAATAACACACAAAACAGATCTGGCTCTCCTGTCATACCTGTTTTACATGAATATGATTTTACTACCTTTGGGAAATTAATTTACTCTCTTAAATATTATCAGCATATTAACTTGCACTCACTTGAGTAACAAAAATAAAATGCAAATAAATGCAATTTATATAGTTATGGGCAAACAGTATTCTTAGTGATTTCCAAGTGGCAAGTTATGTTTTATTTGTAATGATAAAAATCTGAAATGTAGGTACCAAAATATAAGCACAGAAACCTTCAAAAGCAGAAGAAATAAAACTATAATAGCATCTCGAGAAAACATAAAACTCTTCAACATGAAGAAATATAACTGACAGACAAACAATAATATTTTAATGCAGGTTTTGTGTATTCTCTTGCCTGGCAGACAAGTTTGTTATTCATAACTACTACCTTTTTTTTACTATAATTCAGGATTTTAACGGCACAAACCTAGTTCCAAGTCTTCTGGTCCGCAGTCCCATGAAGATTGACCGTATGAGTTTTCCAAAGGAGGCAGCATTGACTGGATCCAACTTGTGCTCCTGACAGTGTCGTAAGTAATGGTTGTAAAGGGTACTTCTTGGAAGGCTCACTCCTTCTGCAGTTTCATAGTTGTCTAAAAGCCACTGAAGCTATATCACATACAAAACAGAAAAAAACCACCCTATTACATACTTTATTAAAAACATTGTAGCCATACAGCATTAACTTCTGACTATCGGAACCACTCTTCCGGTCTATTAAAAAATTACTTCCTTCCTAAGATTGTCTTTAAATGTTAATTAAACAATAATGCTTTAATATATTCAGAATTATCAGGGAATAGCAGAACTCATTGCACTTGTGACCTCAAGAAAGTGTCCTTTTCTTAAATATTTTTGGTTCAGTACCACACATCAGTACAAAGTGACAAAGGTATCTATGCTTTGAAGACAAATTGTTAGTACCACAAAGAAATAAAGTAGTCATGAATGTAATGCACATAAATTGCAGAAAACAAACTCCTTGGACACAATAAGTAGTTAATGTATTTTTAAACCTGGAATATGATACTGTTGGTCTGTTATTAAAAACCATTAAGATCCAAATAAGATAAAAGTTACTGCATAAAAGTCAAAAAGCTACCTAGGTAACATTGAAAATAACTGGTACAATCATTAGGGATACAAACCCATTCAGCTGTAGCCTGCTTGCCTTTGACTTTCCAAAAGGAACAGAATGAATTTCTTGGTAATCTTAGAAATCTTTTCATGTAATTGTGGTAGATAATTAGAAACATGCAAGAAGAGACTTTATGTAACATCACAGCATGTTCTAAGTACAGCACACTCATGAAAAACCTCTAGTTATTGCTATTATAAAAAAAATTTAAAAGGAAAATTTAATACTCCAAGATTAAATATTAAAGGAAAATGGCAAATTATATCAAAACCAATATAGTCTGAGGATATTTATTTTTTTTATACTGAATATTTTTTTTTAATAATGAAACAACTTTTATTTCTTTTATAATGGAACAAATTTAATTGTTTTAGTATTTTTGATAAGTCAGTATTTTCCCTATATTTCCCAGTACTTGTCATGGATCCCTAGCATTTTCTAAGCTCTAGAAAAAATACAGAAAGAAGATGCAAATGACTCCAAGACAAAACATTTTTAGCTTGGTTTGCAGGTAATTTTGCATTTCAAATAAAAAAAATGGAGTACAGTAAATTATCTCTTATCATATTATTGTTTTATATGTCCTAATACTCACAAGTTCTTCCAAACTGAGCGTCTGTCATTTTGAAATAAAGCTGAAGAAAAGGTGTAACTGTAAATATTTGAGTTTTGTGAGAGTGTATTAAAGTTACTTCACTAGTAATCTGACATAAGCTTGTCTTGGCTTACAAACAAAGATAATTATTACTTTCAACGGTTGCAATCTATCCATATTGAAAATCTGTATTACATATATATATAGTAGTATATATATATATATCTATATATAGTATAGATATATACTATATCTATATTTATTATATAAATCTGATATTGAAAATCTACTATTACAACTCCATTTTTATTAAAACATTTATATAACATTTTTCATATATTACTGGATCTAGAACTGAATCAAAATGATACAGAACGTGAAGTACTTCTGCTTTCCCCAAGGGGGAAAACTCTGTCAATCCCCAAAGACTGACAAACAAAAAATAATTATTTTGTAATTAAGTTCTGCATGTAGCATTAAAGATATTTTCTTCCAGATGGTTTCTAATATATTATTAATCACTTTGAGTGCACTTCATTAATTATATGAATTTCTAACAGATTTTATTTCAAACATAACTTGTATTATTCAACACACAAAAAGCTCCAAATCGAAAGTTAAGTTCAATATAAGAATTTTTGGTCTTGGAAGGAGTTACTAAGTAGCAAGGGCTTGAAATCCTTACTTGATAGATTATAGTCTGGAAAAAAAGTGTAGTTAATTAATGATTTTAAGAGAAAATGGAATCCAAATATTATTGTAAATAACTTTAGAAATAACCCAAACATTTGTCTACCAAGCTGAAATACAATTCTAAAGCTGTTCAGGTTTGAGTCTTGGCTAATAAATTTGTAGTACTGACCATAATGTATTGGTAAGATGGGGAAAGGGATGAAATATTTACAGAGCCAGACCTGTTCAATTGAGTGTCACTTCAATTAAGCTTCAATGTTTATAAAACACTCAACTATCAATTAGTTGAGTAAGTTGATCCCATGCAGAAATACACCAAGAAACAAAAGAAAACAGAGGAGAAATGACAAACTCCTTAAAATGAGAACTCATATATTCAGGAAGGAAAAAATCCTACAAAACATTGAGATATCAAAGGATGAAAATTTAAACCTGAACTAAAATATTCCCACAAATTAATCACCTGCAAAGTGTATAAGTTAATTAAAAACACAATTTAGAATTCTATTTTAAAATCTGTTAAACCAATTATTTTAATAAATGCCAAACCAAACCATTAGAAGACAAATTCAAGAAAAGTTTAAAGAGACAAAGTGTACATCTACACTTAAACTTACTTTACACTGTCCTTGAGTTTAAAGAAAATAAGCATTGCTTTAAAAACAAGCAAAACATCCTGTAGGCTTGATCTAGATTTTAAACTTCTTTCAAAATAACGAAAAACAGGAAAGACATATTGCCACAAAAATAAGCACAAGGGTTGTTTTAAATTTTTCTTTCCCCACAGAATCAAAGATATATCCCTATCAGAGTATTTTTCACAAAGCGTTCACAGTCAAGAAATATCATTTTAAGTCTTTGCAGCTGGAAGGACTGTGATCTTCTGTGCAAATCTTCTTATTAGGAAGACACTGAATAGTGCCTAGAACTAGAAATGAGTGAAACAGTTTACTGAGGCACTGCAGCTTATCTTTTGATCTTTCTTGGTTTTATACAAAGACTGTGGACTTCCTAACATGTTTAAGCAGAAACTTACAATAGTTCTAGTGTTTTAAGTCTTTCCAGAAAGTTCTAAAACATTACCAAAAAAGTTATGATCTGTTAAAAATTATATTTAAACAATGACTTTGATATTAGCAGTCTAACAATATCTATTATTATTTAAATAATAATTTTGATATTCTCTTATCTTCAAAATAACTATTTTGTAAGCACACAGAAAATCTAAATGTCCTACTGTATATAATTTCCTGTAAATTTTTATAATACAGCTTTCCTCTTCCAATTTTAGATTTAAGAAAAAAAAAAACCCTAAATTCTCAACAAAACATTTTTAATTTTAACTTCAATAAAACTGGACTCCTACAGGAAAAAAAAAAAAAAATTCAAACCCAAACCTTCTAAAGCATACGTTTTTAATTTGATTTCCAAAGGACAATCTCTACCATCATATTCTACATTCAGACTGCAAACTAAATTTCAATTTCTTCTGTAAAGCAATAAGGGTATTTGAATTTTATATAATAAGTAAAGCTGAGAAGGAAAAAAAAAAGCAGTATGAATACAAACCAATCAACATGGCAAAAATACAAACTTCAAAACTGTAAGTACCAACAGAAAAAAAAAACATTTCAGAAAGACTAACAAGTTACAAAGTAATAATATTATTTATATAATAAGTTTAAAATTAACATGGTCTTTTTCTTTTATTTTAAGATTATATATAATGAACTTTTCACTCTATTTGGAGATGATGCTTTTGCCCAAATGTATTTTAGTTTTGTCTATGAGAAATTCTTAACTTTAAGACTTGCAGGGTTAGAACAAAGTAAAAGGCAGATGAATAAGACATTTCTGTGTACTCCAAATTAAGGCACTGCTTTCAATTTTTACCAGGTCATCATAAGGATCCTTAGTATTCTTAAGTAAGTAATTTCAAAATACAGACTCTAGTCAGAATAAATGAAGAAACACCTAGGAATAACCTAAATAATTATTTAGGTGTGCTGTTTGTTTCTTCTTTTCCTCTTCACATGCCCCAAAATTAGTATATGGTATACAGTTCTTACGACGTAGACAATTTCATTTAAAATGCCAAAAGCCAGCTAATTTAGAATTAATTGAACCTTAGCTTGACATTTACACTGTAACCCGCAGAACAGTCAAATGTGTTAACTCATCCTAACACAGGTGTTGAGCATAGGGAACAGGTAACACTCTGCAATATACCATAAAGACATTTAATCTGACAAAATAAAGCCATGGGAGGTGTAGTAAAAGATTACAAGCAACTAAGATGGGAAGATTAGAGCAAAAAGTAATAATAAAATAAAACAAACATTTAGAGGCAGGCTAAGCATGCAGAACAAGCAAGAGAGAGTGTATGTGAAGAAGAGACAACTTACATGGCTGTTGAGAAGAGAGCTTCTGTGAGTGGACAGACCATCAGACTTTTGCAGTGTCTCAATCGCCATTTCAATCTGATAATAGATGTCATTAAAAAAAGGACTCAAGATGGGATAGTAAAAAAGCCTGATCAGAGAAGTTTTGACAGATTCCTTACCAGATCAACAGAAATGCCTGCTTTATTCCTGGCTAGGGCATATATTTTATCAAAAGGCCTCATTCTAGTGTCCCAGTGACACAAGCCTCCTCAATGAGGTCAGAAAGTAATTTTGTTTTGCTTGTACATATACTGCAGGATCACAGCCTCAAAGTTCATTTTACCTTCCAAGCTGCTCAGAATGAGCTCAAATAAGTAGAATTACTAGTGAGCTGCATTGAAATAAAAATAACCCAGACTGAACAAAAATATAATCACTAAAGTAAAAATAAAAATCAAATAAAAAAATCCCTAAATGATTTTCAGAAAGGCCTCCATATGTTTTCCCTTCAACTAGACCAGGAAGAAACATGCAGAGCTTGCAATAAGAGTTGAATTAGAAACAAAACTTTAACTATCTGAAATCACAGAATCAAATCCCAAACCAAAGTAATTCAATAGGTTTTACTCCGTTAGCTTCACTGGGACAGGACATCAACCCTTACTCCTGTCAGCACCCTTTGAAGATCCCCAGCTGTCAAAGTAAATGGAAAGTCAGGAGTTACACAGACTGCAGGATCCAGCCTTTAGAAAAGAGATTTGTTCACAATAATTTTGCTTTTAAAAAGGAAAAGAAATCACAGTTTAACTAAAATACAAAGTAGATTTTTTTTTTTAAATGCAAATGTATGGTTACTCTCACATTCATTTTCTTTCTTTTCCTTTTAAATAACAATGGGTATTTTGATTTTGATCAGTTTGGCAACCACATTAAAGAAAAAAACCTAAGTGCAATTTATCTGGGGGGCCAGAAGAGCAAAAACCAACAATGAAAATGACAGAGACAATGGAATGCACAGTAAGAAAAGGCACACAATTATTAGCTACAATAAATGGCCAAAATGAAAGCAATGGAACCACCACTTACACTTTAAAAATTACTTACAATTATCTCTGTAAACATTTTTAATGAGCCCTCTCTTTCTTACTTCAAATACCACAGTACTAATTATAATTTTAGTGACATATTTATCAATATTGTCTGAATTTACTCTCTGTATACTAGAAACAGAAAGCTGCTATAGCTGTTATTTGAATTTACCTGTAAAATTAGTTTCTACTTTTTTTCCAGGGCAATTGACAAGTATTTTAATGTATTAGCTGTGAGGAGTAATTTATTTTAAGTGTATAATATTAACTTTGCAAGTCTTTAAAGAAAGTTACATTACTAAATATATACAATTATTATATAAGAAAACTTTCTTGCTTGACAATTATGTTCTTTCTTTTAACAGTCTGACTTCTTCACTGACTTGCTTCAGTGGAAAATACTATGAGGTCAAATTATTCAATCACACAGGAAAGATCAAATTTTAAAAACATGCCACATGATAACAACTACAAGCTGAAAAGATCATCATAAGGTCAGTTTACTATATATTGTAGCCAGAGAGTTTCCCACCCTAACAAAATGCTACAATCAAACAATTGAGACTGTATAGACATTTAAATCCTGAATCTGAATGTTAGGTCACAAGTACCACAGTGCTTAATGCCCAGCAGCACTGTACACCAGGGTTACACGGCCTGCTACCCATTCCCACTACTGCCTCACTCTCATTTTGTTACTGCAACTTGTGGACTTCTTTGTTCAGGGAACCAATTTGTTAAAAAGATTAACATCTCTAGTAATATCTCTTGAAAAGTGGCATTACAGATGACACTGACTCCTCACTGCCACGGTGATTCCGGGGCTTTTGGGGATTTGTCGGGCTTTTCACTATTTGGGAGATTTTTGTTGCTGGAGTGTCTTTTAGGAGATTTCATCAGTATGACCACTGAAGATGAAGAATCTGTGTTCACATTTAGTACATCACACAAGTCAAACAACACTAATCACCACTAAAAGAAGTTAATTACTTTATCAAGCTCAGACATGGGATCTATATTTAAAATTAGTCTCCACCATATTCTATTAGGAAAAGCTTAAAGAGAAATTATTTTCACTACTAATTATTTTGTTCATAATTTTTAGGTTATATTTTGATTAAATAAACTTTCAACTTTATCTGGTTTTTTAAACACTAAGTGATTCACTTGCCCTTTCTGAAAACTTACAGCTGCTTCTTGTTTCACTCTATTGGTCCCCTGCAGGGCTCAATTCTAGGGCCAGTTCTGTTTGTATTTTTATCAATGATCTGGATACAGGAGTTGAATGCACCATTAATAATTTTGCTGGTGTTATTAAACTGGGAGGTGCTGCTGACTCCTGAAGGACAAGAGCCCTTGCAGAGTGAGGGATCTAAATACAGTGGAGCACTGGGCCATCACCAGTGACATGAAAATGACAAGTCAGAATGCCAGTTTCTGCACCTGGGATAGGGAAATGCCAGATACAAATCTAAACTGGGAGAGGGGCAGCTCTGGGGTTGCAGGGAGGGCTCTGGAGGTGCTGACTGGCAGCAGGCTCTGGCAGCCAGCAGGGTGCCCTGGCTGTCCTGCCAGAAGGGCAGCAAACCCCATCCTGGGAGCACCAAACCCATCCTGGGAGCACCAAACTCCATCCTGGGAGCACCAACCCCATCCTGGGAGCACCAACCCCACCCTGGGAGCACCAACCCCATCCCAGGTGCAGAAAACCCCATCCTGGGAGCACCAAACCCCATCCCAGGTGCAGCAAACCCCATCCTGGGAGCACCA